GAAGAGACCAGCCCAGACACTCCTGGAGCTGTTAAGTATTATATGAGACAGGTGGCAACCTTTAGGAATAGGGATGGGTGGGGGGGGGGGTTAGTCAACCGTTCCTTTGGGTGGTTATTTTTGGTTTGTCTTGTCAGCAGCTATTGCTGAAGTGAGTGCCACAGATTTTGGGTTAACTGTTGCCTGAGCCAAAGAAGTGCTAAAGTTTGTTTCACTAACAGCTACATCACCATCGTGGCCGTGAAATTCCAAAGCTTAGTACCAGCAGTAGATGGATGGGATGCTTGGTGAAAGCAACATGAAGCCATTTTCGTATGTCCATTTCTTATCTGGGTCTACTTAACTGGATAGGCGGTATCCTGTCTCCATTGTCATGAACTCCCTGCAACTACTGCATTCTTCACACTAGCCTGTACTGTTAGAAGATGAAGTTACCGGAGGACTTGGTCCAACGGCAATCCGTGACAAGACCAGAAATATACCAAAAATACTATTCCATCTATCTTCCAACCACTCACCCAGCAGAGGATCATGGTGAGCCTATCCCAGGAAGCACAGAGAGATGCCACTTCATTGAATGGCCAATAAGCCTAACCACATGCTTCTCAGAGACTGAGGGAGGAATCTGAAGGACCTGAATGAAACCAAGGCAACAGAGCAATAAAATGCAAACTCCAGAAAGGCATAGTGGGGGCAGGATGCACAGCCCCAGTGGACTGAGGAAGCAGTGCTACAAACCGAGCCCCCAGTGGACTGAGGAAGCAGTGCTACAAACCGAGCCCCCAGTGGACTGAGGAAGCAGTGCTACAAACAGAGCCACTAAAAGCAAAAAGGTAGACTGAGTTATAGTGAGGAACTTTACACAAATTAATCAAAAATATTTTTCACAGCCTCTAAAAAGTATGTATGATAACTTCAGGGTGGTCACTAGTGCAATACTATAACCAACAACTTCTCATCACCAAGCTGGCAAAATGCTAACGGTTGCAGGCTGAGACAAGCATTCAGAAAGTCAACTGTGGTCTGAGGTTTGCAGCAGCATCCATGTTTCTGAAGTATATTAAAACGGCTGTAAGCACAAACACCCACACAGCACATCTTTAACACTAAAGCCTCCTGTCCGCCACAAAACACTCATGTTCTTCCTGTCAACAACTTCCCCAGCCTTGCTGGTTGGCTCTAGAATCTCAGATCACCACTTCCTCCAAAACCTCTCCACTGTTCAGCAGCAGGAAAATTAGCTGATCCCTCTTCTCCATATTTAGGCAAACACGTGCTCTACCAGGTCATTCTGCAAGTAGCGATCATTCAGATTATTCATGGTCACTTATTGACTTAAGATCGTTCATGTTTCATAACTGGAAGATCTTTGGCGCATGTCTCTGGATGCATGAGGCACAAGGCATGGGACACCCTGGATGGGATACTAGGCCCGCACTCACCACAGATGCACAAATACCTTCAACTCTAGGAGAACACTGCAGTACCTAATGGAAACCCATACGAAGATAACAGGCTAACTCTGCACACACACAGTCAATCCTAGCTCCATGAATGTTACAGTGATAGTGTTAACCATTAAGCCACCATGCCATCCATAACAAAAAGTCTCAGGTATTTCATATATTCAACAAAACACAGGCCACACCATCTTAAAGGAAAGCATCTCACTCACTCACCACATGGGTAGAAGCTGGCCAATCACTGCTGTGACATCTTGCATATTAAAGAATTTTGAGACTTCCTGCATTTATTCCAAAAAGACCAAACCATGGATAACACAGCTCAACTATGCATCTACCTTCTGATTTTGACAAAACTGCTTTTTAATTAATTACCTACAAGCAGTTGTGGCGTACCAACAAACAAGTATTAAAACAACTAAAATTAATAACCGCTATGGAAATTAAACCAACTGCATGCTGTCTTACATACTGCATGTTAGCAAATTTAGTCACCTATATAATGATAGATTAAAATACCATCTTACAGTTCCTTTCTTTTCAGAACAGAAATTTCTAATCGCGTTTCCTTCCTGAAAAGCACATCCGTAAAATGGCTGGTCAAAAATAAACTTTGGTTATAATTATGATATTTAGCTTAAGACTTGGTTTCGTGAAAACAGTCACGCAGGGGAAGGTTTCCCTCAAAAAATGACAATTAATGAAAAACCTGACGCTGGGAATTTTTTGTGTCGACAGTCGAAAATTATAGGTATTGCTGGGTTTCTGCACAAAAACCAGCAATTTAAGAGTCACTGGAAAGAGTTCAGTGAGCTGCAAGTCACAAGACTAAACTGTCTATGTTTCTCCCAATATCTTATGACAACTTATGTTCACTCCACAAAAATACTCACAGCTGCAAAAGCGATGACAGCCTCACATCCTGTTCCAGCAGACCAATTTAAAGATAATATCCATAAAAATTCAATACAAATACAGCACCAAACACTGGCACTAATCTTAGCAGATTATGGACTGCTCAAATAAAAGGTCTAAGAATACCCCAGATCCAAGTACTTCCAGGTGCAGCAAGAGGCATCAGAATTCACCACTAGCGATGCAATGCACATACATTAGTCTCACTTTACCAGAGTGCATCCCAACACCAGGAAAAATTTATCTATTATGCTGAAAGATCACTAGTGTATTACATGAGTTTTAGCATCAATCTATGAGGATCTCCCCTATCACCAATCCACAATACAATATGCATAAACTTGTGGACACCTTGCAGGGTTTTTCCATACTTCAGCTAAAAAAAATTTGCAGCTCCAAAGCCAATTTTTATTGTACATTAGAGAAGATTCAACAGGCCCGACAACCCTGAGCAGGAAGAGAAGACAGAAGATGGACACAAAGTAACATTTCACATTTTGGGCTTACAGTAAATAAATCATTATTGTTCATCATGAGCTATTCTGGACAGAGTTTGAGATGAGATTCTACTACAGTGGCATTCAGGTTAAATAAAGGATAGCCACACGTGATGAGCGCTACTGAGCCATAAACAGCACTGAAATCGTCAAGGGCGCGTCCTTCATGGCACAAGGCAAGTCCGTGAGAGGAGGGGCAACATTTCGTGTGGCAATAAAAACAGATGCAACTTCACGTGGATCAGCAAAACACGCAAACCAACTACAGTTGCAGTGGGTGAAGAAATAAGCCAGGCGGACGGGGAGGGGAAGCACAGATAAGTGGACAGCTCGGACAAAAACTCCGCAGCAGAGATGAAAAGGCTCAGTCGGGCCAGACAGGCAGCTCAAATAAAACACCTGGCCGGATCCATCTCAGCCCCGAGCCTCCAACAAGAATGACATCGCGAGCAGCAGCTGCCCTTCATGGCCAGTTGCGACTGATATTTAAAAAATAGACATAATTCTACCCCATTGATCATTCAGCCGTTTGGCATAGGACACACCTATATACAGTTTGTTAAAAATGAAACGTGCTATCGCCTATATTTCCTAACGTACCTGCTAAAGCGCTGCTGTCATTAGGCTGAGCTGGGCGACAGCTGGCCCTTCAAGAACAAAAACACCATGGCGACGGTGACATAAAGTGAACATTTTGCACCTTAAAACATGCCAGCGAGACAGACTGATTTTATTCATTTGAGAAATCGGGAGCTGCCCGGTTACGTTATTGGGTTTGCTGTTCCATAAAAGAAAAAAAGATCTTAAAGAAAAGCTGAATGTCTAGTAATAGATCATTTACCAAAAAATAAAGCAACAGTTTAAAGGATATCTGTAAGAATGCGCTAGGAAAACTGTCCATTGACCATGTTATTTCATTTGACACTTTACCTACTACGGGGCCAGACGGCTATTAATAAGCCGATGCCGTCCAAAAGCAGCCAGACGCGCCGATGCTCACGGCCACCGACAGGACCGACGGCTCGCTTTTTTTCCGGTTCGCACTAAGACCAGGGCGATGCCCTCCGCTAAAGGGGCGCGATGGGGGTGCGTCCCGACCCGAAAGCCCCCCGCTTTGGCCTTGCTGTCCCTAATCTCGCCCCGTGTGGGATTATCCCACAGGCCAGGAATTTAACGCGCCGTCCGCCGCCGACTGCCAGACATGTAACGTTATCGCCGTCCCGTCGGAACCGCGTCTAGTCCCGGGCGTCTCGGTGCCGCCAGCCCGCCTCACACGGTCTCACCGGCCCGGGAAGCCTTTTTCAAACTCCGACGCGCACACATTAGTGTTTGTTTTGCTTTTCCCTCCGCTCCGCCACCCCTTACCTTCGTTTGCCAGGTCCGCCATTTTACTTCCTTACTTATAGCGACGATGCCCCGCGCTGGACATGCGCGCTATTTCTACCCGACGGCGGGGCGGGCATGTTCACGCGCCGCTGCGTCCTCGCGGAGCTGGGGGCTGCTTTGCGGACATGCCGTCTGCGAACTGTACATCCAGCGCAACACCTATTGTTGCTCAGTGGCGTTAAGATGTTTAATTGCGTGGACATCGTGTATTATTTTTCTTTCCTTTTTTGCGTGTACACTACATGATTCATCGGCTATATATAAATACTTAGGCCTAACTAATACCCCTGTCTCACTGTCCTAAAAAAGTAAGCGTGAAAAGGATGCACATTACAATCCGTGTTGCAAAATATACTTTCTTGACGTCCAGGCAGTAAGTGAAGTACCCCTGTTTTGCGCCGCTGTTCTGCTTCATTAGTAAGTTATGGGTAATATGCGATAATATGGCATTTACTTTTGCAACTACAAACGAATAATTTTTTGGGATTAATAAAAATGCAATGCAAACACAGAGGTTATAAAATATGAGTACACTTCGTTAAGCTGATGATGCAGTTCGGCTGGATATAGCTGGTTACATTGTTGGAGGAACATGGGTTGATTATAAGGTCACTAACCAAGCATATTATAGCTTGCCTTATTTTTTAACTTAAACCACCAACCAAGTCCATTACCTAATGCTCTTAAATGCCTCTTACTTGTTTTAATAGCAATTTGATATTACATTTGAAAATCTTATTTGTGCTGCAATTTCTTGCATTTTGTTTTACACTTGCACTGCAACACAATGGCATGTTTTAGTGGCAGGAGATATAGTATATTGGTCATGTGTCTCCGTGCAACCTGCAGAGATTCAAAACTCCTTCAGATGTTTCCTAATAAACAACATGTAAACACATTTTGGCAGTAATCAAGTATTACAAGCTGAAATGCAGGTTTTATGCTGGGAACAGGCAGCGGATTACCCCTGTTTATACACAATAATATTAAACAGACAATTCAGGCCAAAAAAACACAACTTTGTGAAACTCAGAAAAAAACAAGTGTCAGCTGGTTTTACAATAATAAAAAAAAAACATTTTTACAAGGCACGTGGGATCAGCAACATGTGAGAGATCCATTTATGTGGAGGCTAGAGACGGCTGTGATACTGATCCCACCCGGTGGCACACAGGACTAGTGCTGCGTTTAGTTGACTGGTGGTTTTGCTTTCTGTGATATGAAATGTTAGTCACGTGTTCCCGGCCATTCTACTGCTGCATCAGGCTTTTCATAACAGCTATTCGTGTAGTATGGCTTATAGGAAATATGCTTGTTCTTATATGTGATAAAATATCTGATTAGTTTCTTAAACAAAGATTTGTTGGGCTGGATTTTGAACTGATCAGCAAAACTTTTTGGTCAGGTTAGTGTGTGATACACTTGCTTGCACTCCTACACAGTAGGTGGCGGTATAGACCTTGTTTTTGTTTTGTTTTTTTAAAAGTCCATAGAAAAAGGAACTTGCCTTTATCCAGGTGTTAATTTATTCCTGTTGTGTGTTCGGAAAACATCACCCGTATACCTTACAGTCATAAATCATAAATCCGGTAATTTTAGGTATTTGATCTATTTGACCGGTTGACAACATGGTTATTTTCAAGTACGTACATATTTTAATCAGGAGATGAAATATGATGAATATGTAGGGTATTCACAGAGAGGGAGAGGGGCATCTACAGGGTTTGCAGTCGATGGTTTGTTAAATTATCTTGGTTTGAACGTAGTTTATCGTCATCTGTGCCTGGGGAAACATGATGTCAGTGTGATGTAGGAAGAACGTTGGATAAGATTACGGTGTTCATTGGCAAGTGTACAAGTCAGGATACTGTTTTCTTTTCAAGAAGCCATACCGAAAGTTTAAAGGATAAATGGTGCAGTGATAGTCGATGTAAATGCGCGTGTTTTTATTTATTCATTTGTTTTATTCTGTTTTTACCCTGTCAACTCAGTAACCGATAGAGCATAATTGTTATGTCTACAGTTTTTACAAATATTTATGAAAACTACATCACAGATGGTTGTGGTAAATTATGTTTAGCATATGGCGATAATAGCTGAGGAAGCGAGTTCACACAGAAGGAATAACCTAAATGTACGAGCTTTTCTGAACAAACAGCATCTCGAAAGGTGAAAAAAACTATACGTCACCCGCCCCGGGCACAAATCAGCTGACTTTTGTCATGTGACCTGCATGACGGACGCGGAAGAGACAACGTGAAGCCGGACAGTCTGCGGAGTGGTGAGTTTGTAAATTGTCTGGTTGTAAAAATATGTGAGTGTTGCACATGGAACGGCATGAATATGTGATTAAAATATAGGGTGCTACTGTTCAGTCGCCAACAAGGCCGCTTTTATTTTGCTAGTTATTTGTGTTTAACTCACTTCGTACCATACACGAAAGGGGAAGTATTAGCTTATTTTCATGTACTGTACTGTATTTGCATGTACAGTTATGATATATATTACGTAAAGATGTGACATGATGAAGTTAAATTCATTGTTTAATGTTTTTCTGTTACGGTGTGAAAAATGAGTAATGTTGGTTGATTTACTTTTTTTTCATACCAGGAAAGGGATTTTTCTAGCAGAAGCAGACAGGTGCCATTTTTAACACTGAGGATGTCAGCATACAGAGTTCTCCCTACTCTGGCTCTGGCATTAACAGTTCTTATGACATGTGGTGAGTTTCTAAAGTACGGTACGGTACGCGATCGCTTGCTGATCGTGGATTTTAACACACGCTTTATGGTGAAATTTGGACAGCATTACCAATGATGGGTATACAATTATCTTCAGTGTAATGCTGGTTTGGTTTCTTCTCCCTATAGACGCAAATGTGACCCTGTCTGCTCCAGCAGCTGTAAGTTTAGTGGAGAATACTTCGCAAAACATCAGCTTTGAGGCAAGGTAATTCTAGAGTTTATATTGAGAAACACATTTATAACAATCCATCGTTATACGTGATTACACCTGTATGATAAATAAATTAGAATGTTTATTTTTTAAATGTACTGTAATTACAAAAGTCTGACAGGAACCTGTCATTTTTAAGAAGTCAATATATGAACATGATACTGTATACAAAGCTTTATTTGCATACCAGTTAAATGTTCTTGTTAAAAATATACTATCCAGCTTGTTATGCATCTACTGGAGGCCACAATATTATAGTATTAAGTTTTTCTATTATATCATGTTACATATATTTTGACTGCTTAATTGTCTTCAGTTGCTCAGCACAGATTCATATAATTCATATACATTTGTCGTTTTTCCCTTATACCCTTTGTATGGTAATACAAATGAATTGTTTAACCTCTATAAAGAGGGATCTCAGCCTATCAACCTGAATGAGATAATGGCTGTGAAAGTCAGACTTCAGTGGGATCAGCCTCAGAAAGAAACAATTTCCCTTTTCAGAGTCGAAGCAGATCCATCTTGTGATCTAAACTTATCATGGCCCAATGTGTCAGAACCATTCTGGATCAGATTATCACAAAGGGGCAGCTTTAAGACTATTGTTGGAGTTCTTAGAATTCAAGACAATGGGTTGTAATGTCGACCATATGTTTTTGGGAAGAGTGTTGTGGATATTTCAGTCAGATACTGCTGGGGTGCAGCATGTTTGATGGGTGACAATATGAAAAGGTTTACAAATGATCCACAACCACATGGGAAAGAAATTCAGTGATGAATATATTTAAGGTGATTTTTTTATTATTGTGTTTTAATGATTCAGGTCATTTACTCTTATGTCACACATTTGAACACATTGCTCTAGGTAAAACATATATGAACTGTAAATGGCTCATGTGTGTATAGGTTGCTGTGGTCAGTGGAATAGAAATCAGGACTGATTATGACTGTAAGTGATGCCGTCCCAAAGCAGCAGTGCTGGCTGGTTTCTTGTCTGCTATGGGTTCCTGAAAAAGACTGAAGAGTTAACGCTTCAGGAGGGTGTGTGGCAGAGCGTGCGCAACATGTGAACAGTTATGATTAGTGACCCCAGCAAAAAACATGAAATTACTGTGCAGTTTCTGTTGGAAGCTGCAAAACTGTTTTCTGAAAAATTTTACTGTAGCATTATACATACAGAAATCAGAAATGGGATCTGCTGTCTAACCTGCTGTAAATTCACTTGAAGTGAAATACTGTGAAATGTGTCGTGTTATAAATGGCAAACATCATATTGTATGCTATGATTTGTGGTACATTGATGCGGAATGTCCATAGGAGAGTCAGCTAGGGTTACCAAGATTATTAAAGGGTTTCCTACTGTGAGCTGGCTTTGTAGCTGAGACATTTGTATTATTAGTCATTTTCAGAAGAAAGTGTTGCATGATTGCATAAAGATGGTACAGCTTTTGTTTGACTCTTTGAAGTATAAGTTTCTTTTTGCGTTGTATATCATTTCAGGCAGAGCTGTGTTTAGATATTTAGTATATTTTGCTATTGGAGCTGATTATTTAGCAGAACAGTGACTCATATGTTTGTTATTGCTTGTTTTTCTAGTTCTGCAGTGAACTACACTGTTGTCTTGCACTTCAATGTTACTTATTCTTCCCGAAATGTCACCAGCATTATTCTGCTCCCTGAAGAGGTAAGATGCTTTGTGCTGACGGGTTCTCTGGCATTTCTGTCCTTATTTTTGCTGAATACTGGCACTTTAATTTCCTCCCTTATTCGAAAAACATATCGGCAGGTGAATAAACGTATTTAAATTGTGTGTTTGCAGCAGCTGCTGCCTTGTGCTGTGTGTTTCCTGCAGTGAGTCTCAGGTTCAGTACAATCTTGTACTGCACAAGGATGGATGGATGGATGAAAGGATGGATGGAGGGGCATTAATTTTTTTCTTGCCTTTTATTATATTTCCATATGAGTGGTGTGCTCAGTGTCCACATGAAATTTGTGATGTTTATGTGTGTGACTTCTGAGGGCCATCACGGCTTCCTTAACACTGGTTTGATTATTGAATGCTTTTTGACAGGTTCTGCTGCCTGCAGGAGCCCAATCCAGCAGCTTTGAGGTCCATGCTGAAAAAGTGGGTCAGGTAACTGCTTACCTCTGCAGTGACAGCAGTGACCTAAGAGGGTAAGTCACCACAACATGACAGCGGGCGAGTAGGATGCGGAGGAACCGGAGTCATGCTGACGGATCAGCTTTAAAGATTAATGACAATTTTAACGCCCCAGCTAGTAGGTGACAAGTAAATATATATTTTACGAGCTAAAACGTTTTGGTGTAGCTGAGATCAACCAACTACTACGAGTTCTTGTATTTGAACTAATGCTGAAGTAACTATTTGGATGAATAGCATCCAAACCTGTTAGAATCTTATAGACCTGGATCATGTCCCCCCTCAGTCTCCTTTGCTTGAGGCTGAACAGATTTAGCTCAACTAACCTTTCCTCCTATGACATTCCT